CTCTCCTGCCCGGGCTGGCTTTGAACCGCGATCCTCAGATCTCAGCCTCCTGAGTAGCTAGGATTACAGGCATGAGCCACCAGCGCCAGGCCTGGGCACTGTCCTTATACTTTTTGTGCTCAAGGTTATCTCTATTGCTCTTTGAGCCACAGTTCCATTTCTGGTTTTCTGGTAGTAAATTGCATATAAGAGTCTCACAGACTTTCCTGCCTGGGCTGGCTTTGAACCTCAAACCTCAATCCTCAGATCTCAACCTCCTGAGTAGTTAGGATTACAGGTATGAGCCACCAGCACCCCACTTGAGATCCTTTTGCCTCAGTCTCTGGGGTGCTGGGATTACAGTCATGCGCCACCACACCCAGCAGCACGTGAGTGTCAGGGTTGGCTGAGGAATCCAGTTTTGCCATTGGCCTGGGGAGACAGAGGCTGAAAATAGGCACACAGTGGCCCCACATGTGGTACAATTGCGCCATAGCACGCCAGTGCAGCTGGGTTTGTTGTGTGGTGGAGGACATGGAATTGGTTCCCTTTTCTAAGTACAAAGAGACTTGTCATGTTTGACAACAGTTGCTTTCTACTATTCCCTTATTTATTATTTTTAATGTTTCTGGAAACCGTTTGTGGTTTCAAGCAGATTTTCAAATGGGTCTGCCAGACCCAAGTGGGAAATGTTGCTCATGGGTTTTCTTGGTGTACTTGGGGCTAAGACTGAATGAAAAGTTACAAACTTCTGTGGGTATGGTTGGGACACTTCTGTACAGTTGAAGTGGTTGGGTGATGGAGACAGGAAGATCTGAGTGTGCAGATCCTGGAGGACCAAGGAGACATTTTTTGAGTTGTCTGGAATAGACACACGCATTCAACTTTTACAATTGCTCAGGTTCCTTCTTGGGCTGCAATAAGGGTACCCTTGTTTTTGTTGTTGTTGTTGTTGTTGTTTTTGCCAGTCCTGGGGCTTGAACTCTGGGCCTAGGCGCTATCCCTGGGCTCCTTTTTGCTCAAGGCTAGCACTCTATCACATGATCCACAGTGCCACTTCTGGCTTTTCTTGTGATTAATCAGAGATGACAGTCTCACAGATTTTCCTGCCTAGGATGGCTTTGAACCATGATCCTCAGATTTCAGTCTCCTAAGTAACTAGGATTACAGGCATGAGCCACTGGCACCCAGCTCAGCCATCCTGTTTTGAAGGACAGCGTATCTCAGCATTTTTACCTCTGGATTTAACAAAGAGACCTCTTGGGCAGTGTCACTGAAAGCTTGCTGGATGCACTTGTTGAAGGATTCCATGTCCCGTGACATCCTCTAGGCCAGAGGAGGGAATGGAGACAGAGGCCAGGTAATCATACCAATGGAAAACACACATAGTCCACCTAGGTCATAATGCTGGCATATCTGCAGGCTTTGTTCAAGTTGGGACCCATCTCCCCTGCATCCAGGGGAAATCTATAGTGCAGGGGAAGCCAGGGCCAGAGGTTGGTCCCACAAAGCCATTTGGTGCCATTTGGAGCTGCATAGATTTTGTTTTAGGGGCCAGTTGATAGCATACCAGTCAGTGGGCTTGAGTGTTTACAATTAGTCAGTGGAATCCAACCCAGCTTTTTAATGCTATTTTTCCATTTACCATAAGTATGATTTTTCTGTTCCCAGCAGAGAGGAGCCTTTTGGCTCAGTTGCCTGATAGTAGGGTTTACCCAGAAATAGTTAGCCCATATCTGGTAATATCCTTTCAAGTATCAGTGACTGGTGTCCCTAATGTTGGGAATTTGGGAGGATGTCTAAATTCTATACTTGATCATCAGTTGCAGAGTGAATAAAATGTATTGTGTCCTGGCTGATGAACAGTCTGAATGATAGGCCATTTTGAAATATAATTAGTAGCACTAGTTCCATATGTTGTGGCTGAGTATATTAGTTAGGAGTTCTGTCCAGTCAGCGCCTGTAGGGGGATCCCTACCAGGGTAGCCCAGATGTTCTGGAAGTGGGCAGCAGCCCACAAATCCAACAACTGCTTTTATTAACCTCCCTTGCATAACAACAGGCCCATTGCAAATGTGAGTTCATTTCCACTTTAGCTCAGGAAATAATAATCAGAAAAAGTAAAGCAAAGATACAGCCTAAGATTAAGGTGGGGTTTTAGCATTTGTGGTTAGACTGGAGAGTGT